AAGAATTAGTCGTTTTAATAAAGATAATATTTGTAAGTTTCAAAAAAATTTTGGTGTAAAAATATTTTCTTGATGTTTTGGTTTAGGAGATTTTCTTGTGTTTATATATTATTCAAATAGATAATAACCTATTTATCACTTGTTGGGTTCAGTTGGTAAAGGTGGTTTAAAAAAATATAAAAAAAAATTTTTATTACATATTATATTTTATTTGGGGCGTACTGCAAACACAAAGTGAACATAACACCACAAAAATTTTAGGGGTCAAAATCCCAAGTAGCCCCATAATATATAACTAATTACTCGAACTTTTGCATATTAATATACTTATTATTATTTTTTTAATCCTTAATCTACACCCCGCTTTCTTGTAGATGAGTTGTTCTTTTTAAAGAATACAAAATGCATTTGCAATTCTGAATGTCTTCTTTTTCCATCGGGTCACTCATTTTTCCCAAGAAAGAAATGCAAACTGCAAAATTGCCACTATTGAGCTTCTTTACCTTCTTTCAAAGTCTTTCGATTTTTTCATTACTATATAATACCAATACTATCTATAATCCATTACAATAGCCTAAATTCTCCTTGTGTCACCTGCTCCTTTAAATCAATTACTGGGTTGAGGGGTTGCAAGCATTCATCTCAATCATAGATAATCTTTACTTTCCAGCCTTTCTTTTTTATTAGTTCTTTGATTAAGCAATACAGAAGCTGTATCAGTTGCAGACACCAATCAGACTAGACAAATGAGGAATTAAAAAATTCATAAAATATTTCTGAGGAGTTTTAAAAGCAATAAATAATTTATTGATAATTAATGAATTATTTTTAAATAATATTAATTTTTTATTAATTTTTTCAAAATCACATTAAATTTATTATAATAGTATTGTTAATATTTATGGCATTTCACAAGACCCCAATACAAAATAATATGTTCTAATAATGAGATATGCATATGATGGAAGTTTTAAAAATCAAACTATACAAATGGGACAAAAGAATTAGAATGCTTTATGGTGTTATCTCAAGTTTAAACATATTTCATCATACAGTGGTGGTATATTTTGAATATTTACCCCAGGCATTGATTGCAGATTTAGGATTACCAGACCCAGCTGATCAAGAACCATCGAGTAATAGTTTGGAGTATTACTACATGTTGCACCAGAATTGTTAAATAAGAAACACTATACACCAAAATCTGGCATCTATAGCTTTGGGACTTTAATTTCAGAAACATTAACATGTCAACCACCATTCAAAGATCAACTATATGACCAGATGTTAATTCTGAAAAAAGACCAATAGCAAATGAAATTTT